TACCGATCAAAGCCTTACAGCTGCTGCCTTTAACGCCATTTTTCCGGCGGCAGGTATTTGGATATATGTAGTATGTAGTGAATTGGAACATATTTTTCGTAGTTATAATGGCGACACATTAAAAATAACAAAAAATTATTTAAAAATAAAAGCTGCAAAATAATGTCAATGTTAGCGAAGATGTTTTTTAGATGTAAAATGTATTTTAAACTACGAATTCTAAATAAAAATGGTAAAGATAATCACAATATCCGTAGAAGAAAAATCATAAAGATTGTAAAATAAATGGCTAAATGATATTCATAAAGTCTCAAGTATGACTCGCTTTTCCTTTATGGTCAAATTCTTTAGATTTTACCGGCCTTTTATATTTAATTTATGTTTTGTAGCAATATTTATTTTGTTTGTAATATACACAATCAAATCGTAGATTCATATATTTCTTTAATTAATTTTACAAATTACTTATTAATTTTCAAACCACGTTTTCACAGAAAGTAACTAGTTATGACTTCTTAGTGCAAGATATCGCATCAAGGTATATTACCCGTTAACAGTTTAGGTTTTGAAGCTATTCATTACAGTAATGGAACAAGGTTGCCATATGATGCATCGTTAATAGTATATTACATAACGAGAGTTGTAAGAAGCTTATTACATGCGAGTAAAAAAGTTGTGCGCGAGCCACATAGCGGCGAGCACAGTAATTTTACAAGCATGTAATAAGCTTACAACTCAAGTTGTGTACTATACTTTTTCTACGATTATTTTCGTTTATAAAAATAAAAATTAAATTACCACTATATTTACACTGACACATTAATTATTTTTAATCTGTCAAAATAACGTCTGTTAATTCGTTTCCATGGTAACTCGACCAACTGACTTACGAGGCTTATGTGATTTTTTTTAAAACATTTTTATAAAACTGAAGCGTAATTTTTTTTATTACGTGCTAGTCATTACGTGTCAGTATCTGTTATGATACATTTACTTGCATCCAAATAGTAGGTAATATACAATTTACTAGTAAGAGAGTAGAAAAAATATGATACACACAAGTCCCCTGGCTTTGTCTCGCTATGACGTCATGCGCAAAGTCAATTAAAATTAGAACGGCAATTGAGCATATCTTGTTTGTTGTAGTATCATGGTTATATAACATGAAAAAACAAAGTTATTAACATTTAAAAATTACTGCAAAAACCGGAGTTTTTAACAATTATCTTGGTGATTTGTTTATGTATTATAAATTTTGAAACTCGTAAATTGAAGAACTTTTTAATATCTACAACTTTTATTTGAAGTTCAATTTTTTCTAAAATGTATAAGAAACGTTTTATAAGCAAAAACTGATTTTTTTACTTTTTTTTTCGCAAGCAGTATTTATCATCTATCCCACATATACCTGTTAGAACCTTCAAAAACCTTTATAAGGTTTTTTAGCTTTTTTTCTTTGCTGGCTTAATTTACTTATGTAAGTGCCTATATCCATTAGAAATACTCAGACCTATCTGGCGCCATTCAGTGGCTTGATGGAATCTGCTTGAGGTGTTCTGTAACTTGAGGCGAAGGTACAACATTCGCGCAATCGGCTTAAAACCCAAATAAAATTTTTAAACTTTGAAAATAAGGCTATTATCGAGCACAAGTTAATTAAATCTAGCCCAAGTACTTTCGCTTAAAAAAGCATCTTCAGGGGCATCTGAAATAAGCCAAGAAAACGTTTTTTAGATGAAGTAAATTAGTTAACTTCGATAAAAAACTCGAAGTTAATGGATGAAAAAAAGGTTTTGAGATTAACGTTTTAGACTTACTTCGTCAAAATAAGAACTATCCGGCAAGCGTAGGATGTGGAAACATTAAAACTAACATAAATTATACAAAACACTACACTAAAACGAGGACAAACAGTTTAAAATTAGACAAAATTACTTCTACGCTACATTCTCTGTCAGTTTCTGGAGGGATAATGATCTAAGCGGAAATGATACTAGAGATAATAGAATTATTACTAATTTTAAACCTAAGTTCTCCATTACAAATTCTTTAGATCTAATAGAACGTTTACATAACATCAAAATAGAAGAGAGTTTTTATTTGGTTTCCTTTGATGTTTCCAATTTGTTTACTTCTGTACCAAGAGATGAAACATTACCTTTAGTACACAACCTTTTAAACAATTACAACATACCGGCTAAAGACAGAGATGCTATCTCAACTATGCTCAAATTCTGTCTTGATCAAGACTTCTTCCAATTTAACCAAAAAATATACAAACAACCTACAGGTTTAGCAATGGGTTCTCCATTATCACCTTTTTTAGCTGATATTTTTTTGGACAGCTTAGAACAGAAATTTGTTAACAACAACAACAAAATAATTTTTTGGTCAAGGTACGTTGATGATTGTATAGCTCTTATACAAGGATCCCAAGATGATGCTTTACAGATTCTGGAAGATCTTAATAACCTTCATCCCAACATCTCTTTTACTTTGGAACCAGAATCTGACAATAAGTTGAACTTCTTGGACATGACTATATCTCGCAATAAAGATTCTCTTGAGTACAATATTTACAGAAAGCCCACCCAAACAGATCATGTTATACATGAGACATCCAACCATCCAACCCAACATAAAATGGCAGCTTTCAATAGTTATATTCACAGATTACTTAAATTTCCACTTTCAAATGATAACTTTAATGTAGAACTCAACACTCTCAAACAAATTGGTTTAAATAATGGTTATGATCCCAACATTATCCATAAGCTTCTAAATAGAGCTAAACTCAAAATTACAGAAAAGCTTGCATATTTATCACAAAGTCTTCCCCAGCAAAATGCTTCTAACAATATCAGATATTTCTCTTTTACTTATATTATTAGTAACATTTCTAATAAAATAGCCAAACTTTTTACTTCTACAGTTGAAAACATCAAAATTTCCTTTAAGTCACACAACACTGTAGGTTCCTTTTTAATTAACACTAAAGACAGGTTGAACACACTTGACAAAAGTGGTATTTACAAATTAAAGTGTGATGATTGTGATGCCTCTTATGTAGGCAGAACCATTAGAAAGCTATCTACTAGAATATCAGAACATTTAAAAAGACCAAACTCTTCAAGTTTTGGTCAACATTTAGAGTCTACCAAACACAATTTCAACATCAATACTGGGTCATCTATTTTGCATGACATCAGTAGAAAGAAAAATTATTTGGAGTTGGATCTATTGGAAGATTTGGAGATCACAAAGGAAACGAATGGAAACTCTCATTGTCTTAATACTCAAATTAATTTAAACTGTACTAAATTTAAACCTATTTTTAAAAACTTTATTACAGCTTCACCTCGTAGTGGACCCAGCTCGGCTGTCTAGACTTCCTGCACCGAGTCTATACATTAAGAATCTACCAATTTCAAGCTCTGTTCAGCAGTACTATTGTATTCAACAATTTACACAACTAGCTTGCTCAGATTCAATTGATCCACAGTTGGAGTTGATTTCACTCTTCATATCTCTGCATAACTTATATATACTAATTCCACAGTTTATATTTCAACACCTGTTGGTCGGTTGGTCTTTAGTAATGCTATTACATATTAGTTTTATAGTTCCCCATTGGCTTGAGGTTTAACTGAACTACTTTAACTATAACCATTTACACACTGCTTTCAATTCTGATCTAATTTTAATATTTCAATTTTATAGTCAATTTTCTTCTCATTTTGCAATATTGACAGTGTAAGGTAGACCATTTTATTGTAGTCAACTACCCACTGTCCAATAGATCGTTTGGTCTATTTCTTTCATTCACAGTTTATGTACACTTCATTTAGCCTCAAACCTACAACCTTATTATTACAGACGGGTGTGAGTGTGAGATCTGGATTATGCAATCTAGTTTAAATCAAAATATTCTACATGTCATACGTCATCAGCTGATTTTTCAGTAGTAGTTCTAGTTGGACCTTTGGCCAATGACAACTTATACAGAATTTCAATATTTGTTGAGCACAGATCCATAACTTTGATTGCCTATCAAAGTTGTCATATGTCATATGTCACCGTATCATTTCCGCTTAGATCATTATCCCTCCAGAAACTGACAGAGAATGTAGCGTAGAAGTAATTTTGTCTAATTTTAAACTGTTTGTCCTCGTTTTAGTGTAGTGTTTTGTATAATTTATGTTAGTTTTAATGTTTCCACATCCTACGCTTGCCGGATAGTTCTTATTTTGACGAAGTAAGTCTAAAGCGTTAATCTCAAAACCTTTTTTTCATCCATTAACTTCGAGTTTTTTATCGAAGTTAACTAATTTACTTCATCTAAAAAACGTTTTCTTGGCTTATTTCAGATGCCCCTGAAGATGCTTTTTTAAGCGAAAGTACTTGGGCTAGATTTAATTAACTTGTGCTCGATAATAGCCTTATTTTCAAAGTTCATTTATTCGAGCATTCAACCTCATTTCATTTAAAATTTTTAAGACGTATTTAATAGTATTCCAAATATAAATAGAATCAGAAGATATTAAAATATTATTACTGTATTGTATAGATTGAAACAAAACGTAATTAGGGTAGGCCATGCATTAAAAATTGTTTTTTTGGATTTTAGTCGATTACGGAAAACATTATATGATGTAAACATATATAACCCAACTAATATAAAAAATTTTGTTTTCTTTAAGTTAGAAATTTTAAGAAAATATGCAAAGATAAAGCCGCTTAAAGTACGTTTCAACACTTTTATAAGTTTACGCAGGGGAATTATTTGTTAGAAATATAATACAATTTGGAAGCAAAGTTATTCTAAAATAAACGTTATATTTGTCCTTGATTAAATCAAATAATAAAACCAATCAAACAACATTCATTTTTAGTATCTTTATTTTAATAAATATTAAATTATACAAAAATAATCATAAATTTTACATTTCTGTTTTTATTTGTTTTATTTATTTATATCTCTTCTATTAAACTAAAATTCTCTAAGAGTCAGGTAGCCAAACTTGCATTGGTAGTTTTACAAATGCACGATTTAAAAAGCTTTTAAAGTGGCTGGCAATGGCTGCACTAGCAGCAGGTTTCATTTCTTTGATGATCTCTTTTGAATTGGCGTTAATGAATTGGTTCATCGCTTCACCTAAAAATAGTTTTGTTTCAGGTCTGTTATAAAATACAAGACACAAATTTGTGATATGTTAGCTTAAAACTATGTCAAGAAAGGCTGAAATAAAGATTCATTTGGGAAAAACAAAATTTATGGCAAAATTTGTTACAAAGTAGAACATAACTATTAACAATGATCCTATAAATTATTCACTAACAAAATACCTACAATAAAAATACCGAACTTAGTTAAGTCAGACACTCCCTCCCCCGTACTCTTCTTCTTCTTTAAGTGCCACTCCTAACAGGGGGTTGGATATTATCATCACTAGCTTTATTGTATCTACCGCTGCTCTGAGAGTATAAGTTTAATGAACTGCTTTTAAACTAGTTCACTAAATTTTATAACTCTGACAATCTCCTTCCTCCTCTTATCTCTTCATGTATTACCAATCTTAACATTTTATATCGCTGTCCCTTCGTTAAGTGACCCAGATATTGTAACTTTTTTATTTTTATTGTATTTATTATTTCGTATTATCTGTATCCATGCTATGTATTGATGTATTGATGTACGTGGATGTCCCGTCCCGCACGTCGTCAAGTATTTTGTCCCATAGGACGGGACGGGACTGGACAGCGATTTTTGCTGCAGGAAGGGACTAGGGACGGTACATATTTATAAAAATTAAAAGGTTTTAATAATTCATATTTATGAAACATAATTATTAATACATTTAGAATAACAAAAAAAATTAAAATGTTTTTGCCAATTATTTTTTATTTGATACACGCGTGGTTTGCAAAACATTATTTTAGTTTAGGTCCTCTAATGTAGGTAATAAACCGCCACCTGATATTACAGTGACACCACCAAATGATGATACCTTTGAATGTAGCTGTAAACGTGACAAATAAAAAGCACTTTCCTTACTTTCTTCTGTGTCACTAATTTAGAATTAATGCCACTCAAAATACAAAAAAGCAGAATGAGATAGCACTAAAACCAATATAAGGTTTATTGAAAATGTGCAAAAAAGTTACAGACTCACTAGGAGAGGAAAAGTATGTCAGGCTTCCCGGTGTGGTTAGATACATAAATTTATTACTCGAATACCTCGACAAAAAAATATTAGAAATTAATACTGACCAAATCAAAGATGAAGAAATTGATTTAAAAAACTCTTTTATAGCGGCAATAAATAAGATTATTAAATACTAGAATAAAATAAATTGTACTGTATGTCTAAGTAATCAATCCCCGCTAAAAAATGAAATCTTCCGATTTATCGTAATGTCATTCTTTAAAACAAGAAATAGAGACAAAACTTAGAGAATTATATAAAAAATATGAAAAAAGAGCCTCAACCCGAAAGCAACAGGAAAGTTAAATCTTGTTCTGGGTCCTCTCCTCGTGACGAGTATGATCTTAAAATGTTGCCACTGTACAAAAAAAATTTACGCCTTGACGACAAACTGGATCGATATCTAGCGGAAGAACGAGAAAACAAACACGTGGACATCTTATCTTGGTGAAAAGATATCCAGAATAAATTTCCCTCCATGGCTTGTCTGGCCAGAGATATCCTAAATTGGTATTAAGACCAATTTAATATTTGTATTTTTTTCTGAGCGTATTTTGTTTTTATAAATTGTTCTAAAAACTAGACATCAATATTATTATATTAGATAATAATATAATTTTAATGTTTAATTGTTAAGACAATTTGTAAAAACAAAATATGCTCAGAAAAAAATATTAATATTAAATTTGTCTTCATACCATTTTAATTAAAGAAAATTAGAAAATATAATTTAAGTTAGATTTGCGTGACACGAGGTGGGACAGCGAAAATATCTACAGGATGGGACGAGGGAAGAGACAAATGTAAAAGACAACGTAACAAACATGCCCGTCCACATTCATATCCAAGTATCTTTAAGCTATCACATTAAAAGCAAATAATGCCTCTCCATTACTCTTAGCAGGACAATATATCTGGGAAAGTTTTCATCTTATTGTAGCGAGATTAAATAAAACGAGCGGTTCGAATTTATATAAATATATTTATTTATAAGTTTACAGTTCGGTAATATCTTCACAATTAAAACTTACTCCAATCATCGTTAAATATATATACTTAAATTAATATGTTCTAGAATATTTCCACCCCTAATTCGCCTACATGACAGATTGTCCTCTCTCGCACTCGATATGCCTGGAAATTTCGAGTCGCTTTCGAGATGCAACCGCTACACGGGACACGCTGAGTGCATGTGCGTAACACTGCTCCCCTCTTAGATCTGAGCGTCCCGATCAGCAACTCTATATGTAGGCCCAGGATGGCGGGATCTAGAGGACTCTCCAGCTCTGCATGAACCCCTCAGAAAGAAATAACAGTCTACTGTCTTTGAAGGACACGATCTCTACGGATTAGTGTAACACACAGTAATTCTTACACCGGTTTCTCGGAAGATCACTTTAAACACGCTTTTGATAATCTTTCAATCCAGATTATCTTGTGCATGGCCTATATTGGGTAAGGCCAAATTCTTAATGTCGTAATTGCAGACGATTTTCTTCAAATTAGTTAGATCACACCATATATCCTCGTAGGTTGCCCTGTTTGTATACGACTTGTTGGTCACCACATACAGCAAAGATCGAGAACCATCTTCTACTCTTAGTACTCTTTCAACTTTAGGCTGCTGGTTTTTTAAGTCGTCCAAACAACCGATTTTTTTATAAAATACGAATGAGATTCCTTCAGTCATCTCAAGGTCTTGGGGAACACAGTGGACTAGAGAGACGTTATGCGAAACACTAAAAAGATCCTGCTGAACTTCTGTAGTCACGCCGAATCTAGCACTCTTTCTCTCTGCGTAATTTGACATGAATTCATTAAAGCTTGGTCGCCGGCCATCTTTGATCTCATGTTGAAGGGTTACGACTTCTTTTGTTTCATTTGAGCCAGCATAAGGTGTAAGACAATTTATGTGAATTACTACTGGTTTACCTTTCGGCAACCTCTTAATTCGGTATATTACGTCATTTATTCTCTTTTTAATTTCATACGGCCTCTTCCATTATCTTTGCAGTTTAGGAAACAAGCCACGACGACCTTGTGGATTATAAAGCCAAACAAGATCACCTAATTCGTAGATTTCATTTTTGCATTGAGAATCGTATTGATCTTTTATTCTGTCACTGGCAAACTTTATGTTTTGTCGAGCAAGTTCATGAATGTTGTTAATTTTTAACTTTAGGCGGTCGACAAATTCTTTGCTTGCAACATGTTCTGCGGAAGGTCTGCAGCCAAACTATAAGTCTCAGGGCAAACGAACTTCACGACCTAACATCAGGTAGGTTGGAGTCTGTCCTGTAGTTTCATTCACGGCCGGGCGGTAGCCCATTAAGAATTAATAAATGTGCTGGTCCCAATCTCTTTGATGTTCTGATACAACTTTGGACAGGTGTTTACACATCGTTCGATTCATTCTCTTGACAATTTTATCTGATTGAGGATGCAGGGGTGTCGTTCGGGTCTTATTGATACCAATAAATTTACAAACCTTTTGGAAAAGGGTTGACTCGAAGTTTCGCCCTTGGTCGGAGTGGATCTACAAAGAACCACCAAATCGGCTGAAGAATTCTTTAACAAGTACCTCTGCAATGGTAGCAGCTTCTTCATTTGGTATCGCGTAGGCCTCAGTCCATTTCGTAAAATAATCCATAGCTACCAGGATATATTTATATCCATCATTCGTCTCTGGAAGTGGACCTGCAATTTTGATTGCTACTCTTTCCATAGGATTACCAACATTGTACTGTTTCATGGGTGCCCTCTTTTTACCAACTGGACCATTATTGGTTGCACACAGTTTACATTTCTGGCACCATCTTCTTATATCATCTTTACAGTTCACCCAATAGAACCGTTCTTGAACCTTTTGCAGAGTCTTCGTAAAACAAAGTGTCCACCTGATGCACCGTAATGTAACTAACGCAATACTTCTGACACTTTACTTTAAGGTACAATTAACTGAAGCTTAGATTCTGTACCATCAAAGTTCTCAAAGGTACTATAAAGAAAATCATCTTTCAGCACTAGGCAATTCCATTAGTCAAGAAGTCCTTTCACTTCGGCGCATCCAATCCAATATTATTTTCATACATGGATCATCTGCTTGAGCGTCTTATAGCTGTTGAGGCTGCCATTGATCATTAATAACGGTGGTTCGTCTCACAGGGCAAAGTCGTTCTTCTTATTCAAGATAATAATTACGATTTGCACTGTATGGCCGTCTTGACCGAGCATCGGCATTTGAATGACTTTTTCCAGCCCAGTGTTTGATCTGTTTTAGCTTTCTGACTGTTGTATTATTTTCTTGTAATTTACGATGAATGTGACCTACGTTGTTACCGCTCCAACATCTGGGTTCACGTCTCTTTGGCATCATGTTACGAACTACTTTCCGTACGATTTCCTCCAGATGTTTATCGTTTTGTAGGTCGCTCTCTTCAGAGGTTCGTACTTGACAGCTCCGTGAAACTCGTGTTTCAAGGCAATGGCGAGCGCTTCATCTAAAACTTTCGGTCTTGCTAGTCGTAAAGCTTTTTGTAGTTCACTGTCTCTCAACCCATTGATGAAGGTATCTACAGCAATTTCTTAGAATATATTGTCTTAGTACCTCTGGATAGGCCAACAGCGATATACGAGCAATATCTGCTTCAAATTCTTGCAAACTCTCACTTGCTCGTTGGATTCTACTTCTTATTTGTACTTTGTAGACGTGTTGTAGATGGGTATCTCCGTAACGTTTATCTAGTCGAGTGAACAAGTTCTGGTAACATTTTTCTTGACCCTTACGAATTAATTTTAGGATATCCGCAGCTTCACCTCGTAAAGTAGCAGTCAAGGAAACAGCTTTTTCTTGTTCTGTCCAATGATTGGCTGTCGCAATAGCTTCAAATTGTCTAAGGTATATGGACCAAGAAGACTTTCCATCAAATGGTGGCAATTTGAATCGCAT